CACACAATGTTTGAAATCACATTTGAAGATTCCCGCGCTGGGTCGAAAGATGCGCGCATGACAATAATTCAGACAAGTGGCGTAAAGGATGTGTGATAGTCGTTTCCACTCGCAATCAAGGTGTTACCCTCACACTATAAGAACAGACTTCTTTGTCGTTGAAATCAGAATTCAATTTTTTTCACACTTTGCCGTTTTGATGGCCGCAGATATTTTAATTTTTTTTTTTTCTTCTTAAATGACTTCAGGCACAGCCAACTGTCAGAACAACAAACATGAAGGAAAAGAACAGAATAGAGTGGAATGTCTCCGAGATCCTAGCGAGGCATTATGGTCTATATCGGTTGAACATTAGGTGAGTTCACATTGGTCAGAGTTGTCGGATCAGTGTCACCCCTCATTAGTAATATCGTAAAAGTGCAGGGAAGGAAAGATGAGCAGTTCAGTAAGTTCAGTCCCCGTAGATGTCAGAAATGTGTCCGAGTTCAAAATTATATTGTCATCTAGGTGTATAATTTCATTGAGACTTTAATAAGTAGAGTTTCACTGCCCAAAGATTAGGTAGAGTAGATTGTCAAAGAGCATAGCCAGCAACCGTCACCTCATCTTACTTGGGACCTGCCGTTTGGTTGATTCATAGCAAGTGATCTTGTGGATTTTGCATGAACGGTCCGAAGAAGAGGAGGATGCGGGAGACCCCGGCATTAACTCCTATTAAATATTAACTCCACCAAGGACCATAAAGCCTCCCAACTCCCTGACTAGCTCCTCATCAGGACAGTATAGAAGAACCTCCAAAGAGATCTCTCTCGGTTCAACTCCGGGAAATTTTTTCTTCAGATACCTTATTAGGTCCGGTCTTGCTTGCTCAAGTAAGGGGCAGTCGAAAAGTATGTGATCCAAGCTCCTCCAGGCTGACCCACACCCACAATCCAGTGCCACATCATAATAAAATCTACTGAGGTGGTCTGCTGTCGCTATGTGAGTTGATCTAAGTCTGTGGATGATTACAATTTCCCGTCTGGGTCGCGAAATATTCTTGAACCAGGGTCTGATGGTTTCATAGCTTACGTTGCGGAAATAGGGATTGTCACTAACTTGTGTGGAGTAGGGCCAAAGTCTTGATAACCAGACTTTCATGTCAGGTATCAAGATCTCATTTTTAAAATCAGAGATAGGTGGGTGAATGGTGATGCGATTAGAGTAAGTATTGGCTAATTTCGCCGTGGCGTCCACCTTCTCATTGCCCACGAGTCCAGAGTGACCAGGGACCCAGAGAAAGTAGACTGAGCGTTGATAGGATAAGTTGTCGTCTCTATTGATGTGTATAATTGTATGTAGCAGGGAACTAATTTCATATATAATTTCGGGATTGTCTTTGTGTTTTAAGCAATTTGATATCCTGTTTTAGGCAGATAGAGAGTCTGAAATAATTAGTATTTTTTTAATGGTGTTCTTTTCAGCATATTTAAGGGCGTTATAGATGGCTAACAGTTCGGCTGTGAGGATCGAAGTGCCACATTGGCGAGGAGTCCCCACACGGAAAAAATTTTGGTGTATTAGATGCGCAATCTACGGTAGAACTGTTGTACTATGGGTTGCGGGCAACTGTTATCCTGATTTGGCGCGTCGGAAGCGCTTTAAGGGCCATCAGATGCACTGTACAGGACATAGGTTGCAGCAAACCGGGATAACTGATGTCCTTTTTTAAAGTATAACAATTTTTTAACTAACCAGTACAACCGGTGCACCAAAATTTTTTCCGTGCATTATATAACCCCGATCCTCAACATAGATTGATGCAGAGGATACAAAACTTTTCTTATTGTAAGAGGCATCTGTGTATATTAAAGTATGATTTGTGTAATTTTTTTAATGTATTCTCTAAAAGCCTTCTCAGAGTGAGGGTGGTTTTTAAATTCATAACCTGAGACTAGGTCACAATTCACAGTGGACGAGATGGATGTCTAGTCCCAGTCAAAATGCGAAGTTCTATTTGTTCTATAGAATATTTGAGATGGTGGTTGAATTCTGTTAAAAGAGTTGAGTAGGGCATATTTTGTTACGTACTCCTTAAGAGTGCGACCAGAGAGTTTACCTCTCAACAATAATAGTTTTGGAATGAGAGGATTGTCTTTCCATTTAAGATTACGTATTATGAAGGAGTTTGATAAATTGATTCTGCGCATTGCTAGGGGAATTTCCCCAGCTTCCACAAGTAAGATATTCGTAGGGGTGGTTTTTATAAGCCCTAACGTGATTCTAAGGGAGGCGAACTGTACTCTGTCTAAGATTTTTAAATTGGTTATGGAAGAATCTGCAAAAAGAGGAGAACCCCACTCCAAGATGGAACGGATAAGTCCTTTATGTAGGGTAACTGTAAGTATTCCTGCGGGTGTACCAATTGCTGCAGTTTTTATAAAGTTATTATTATTTATCATTTATGAATATATGATTTGTTCAAAATGACAGCAAAAATTATTCTACATCTTACTTGATGAAATAGCCAAGAAAAATGTGCATTTCGTTAATTATTAATGTAATTATTTAAATTTAAAGTAGACTATAACTAAATTCAATGAAATTATGGAATATGGCAGCCATGAACACCTATCAGAAAACGTTTATATTTTCAACATTTTCAATAATATACACAATTTATTGTTATTTTATATATTTAATATTATATATATATATATATATATATATATATATATATATATATATAGATATTTAATAAAGTAGGCTTTATTGTTTTAAATAAATATTTAGTTACCCATTTATTATTTGTTTATAATTAATATTCCTTAAAACTGTATTACCAGCAATACTTTCATTGCTTGTGGGTATTTCTGCCATTTTTAAATACGTTCACTGCGCAACTCTTCGCAAAGACATAACCTAACTTCTTTGTTGACGTTATACCGGTCACTCAGATCATTGTTTCATGCGCAGCCTGATTTTCTGCAGTTATACCCGCACAGGAATTAGTGTTTCGTTAGTAATTGACACACAGGAATACCGACATCTCAACAGCAATACCTTCATTTACAATTATTTTTTAATTGATATTTTTAAATGCGGGGAGTGTCCAATAAACCTAACTTTAATTTATTAGCAAAATTTAATAATAAAACTTTCATTTGTAATTGAAATAACGACATTTGGTTTAAATATCAGCTCAGACAAGCTTTGCAAAGTTCACCCACACTAAAAATCAGCAGAATTACCCACAGTTACCCTACCATGAGTGTGAGTAGAGGGGAAGTTCCCCAGGTGACCTTTGCTATAATTTTCACTATACTCAGAGCTCTAATTGCCTTGTCAGCAATATATCTTATGTGAGGCAGCCAAGTAAGTTTCCTGTCTATTATAATGCCGAGCAGTTTTAGGGTCTTTTCGCATTTAATCGAGGTGTCCCCCAAGTGGATTTCCAGATCGTCGAAGTTAATTCTGGATCTGGAAAAAACACAACATTTGGTCTTATGTGGGGCAACGTCGAGCTCCAATTCTGCAAGCCAAGTTCTGAGAATGCGCAGAACTGCTGAGACCTCCTCAGAGATTGAATCAAGGTCCGAAAACCTGACATATAAGAGGAGGTTGTCGGCATACATAACATATTTAAAATTAACAGGTAGGATTTTTCCTATATTTCTTAAGTAGATATTAAAAAGAAGTGGGGAGAGGACTCCTCCTTGTGGCACACCAACTCCACAGAGTTTCCTGTCAGGACCATTGGAAAAGGAGATCCACCTTTTAGAGGTTAAAAAAGTAATAAAATTAACTATATTTGGATGAATATTTAAGTTGATCAGGTGTCTATTCAATATCGCTGGTCTCATATTGTTGAAAGTACCTTTTATATCAATAGATATAGCCAGTGTGTGAGCAGATTCGGCAAAGCCGCTCATTATGTCAGCCACCAGAGTGGAAACGCAATCCATTGAGGATCTTTCTCTCCTGAAACCAAATTGATATTTGGGGATGGAGCGAAAGCTCTCGAGTCGATGCTCCAGTCTCTGGTGAATCATCCGTTCGAATAGCTTGCAGAACACAGAGGTAAGAGCTATAGGTCGAAGACCTTTGCCTCCAGGTTCAGGTATGGGAATGACCATTGTCTCCTGCCAGTCGCTCGGGAAGGATGATCTTAAAAACATTCTGTTAAACAGTATCAATAAAAATTCCAGGGAGGTAGGACCTAATCCTTTAATTACCTCTCCAGTTGTTCTGTCAATTCCAGGGGCGGAGTTTCTTTTACAGGAGGATAGGGCTGCCTCGAATTCATTTCTTGAGAAGGGATATTTTAATTATCTCCATATGTGAAATGAAATTTTTGTATTATTTTCTTGTCGGACTATTGGCTGCCAATAGTGGACCCCGTTTTATTAAATTTTGGGATGATATTGCCATTATTAGGTCTCCAATATTGTTTTTTCATTGGCTGACAAGACATATAACGAATATTCAAATGCTTGGTTAATAATTGGTTACTAAGATTGGACCGTTGTTGATGACCAATGATTAGCTTCCAATACTGGCCCAATCTTTGTAGCCAATTAATAACCAAGCTTTTGAGAATCCGTGTTTTGCCTTGGTTGACAATGATGGAACTATATTGGCTACCAATGATTGGCAACGGCGTGATCATAGAAAGATTTTACCATTCGCGGTCCAATATTGGGTTCCAATAGTTTTACCAAGAAAAAAAGATTGGCTGCCAACCGTGGACCAATATTGAACAAATCGTAAGCATTGGCAAATTTCCCATAGGGTTATTATGGCAGTATCTTGTCATTCTAAGATTTCCACAAGCTTGGGTCATTATTGAAACCATTTGCTACCAATATTGGCCCATTAATAAACCAATCGTTTATTTCCAATTGGGAACTTGTTCGATCGCATATTATTATCAACAAATTTTAAATACCTAAAATTAGTCTAACTTTCTAAAATTATTTCATATGACAGATTTTTATTTAAGTAAAATTTGTTTGTTTCAGGATACAAGGAAACTGCTTTTGCTTATGCTATTTCAGCAGCCGGAATAGCCCACAGTGTAGCTCGTGCTTGTAGTATGGGGCGCTTATTATCCTGTGGTTGCGATCCATCAAGTTACAAAGGAAAACCAATTACCAAAGATAGAAATATTCAGTGGAAATGGGGTGGTTGTTCTCACAATGTTGAATATGGAATGGACTATTCAAAACAATTCCTAGATTCAATAGAAAAAGCTGGAGATATTCAATCTACTGTTAATTTACATAATAATCGAGCTGGCAGATTAGTACGCAAAATTTATATTTTACTTATTGTTTTAAATTAATATGCATGGAAATATTGTTTTATTAATTATCTCCCATATTAAATGCCAAACGTAGTAAAAAAATAAAAGTATTAGTGCAATTCAACAAGAAATAACACCTACGAAATACAATTAGGCGTAAAAGCGTCGCCCAGTAAAAAATAAAAGATACAAGAAAAGTGGATTCCGGTTACAAGCTCAATAGCTGGTAAACGAATCCGTGAGAATCTCGGATACAAGCACTTTTCCGTATCCGAAATGCTCATAAGTTTGTAAACGCACTGAAACGAACGACTTTTGTAGGGCTTTTAATCAAGAAAAACAAGTAAATGATTGCAGAAACGTTGGGAAATTAAATTAGAAGCAAAAATAAATAATTATTTATTAAAGAAACGTACACTTAAACAAAAAACAATTATTCTTACTAATTCTAACTTCTGCATTAAAAACATTGTGAAAGCAGTGTTTTGTTGGTGATTTTACCTTGTTATTCGGAAAATATGGTTTTCTATCTTACCGACATTGGATATTAATTTAACGCGGTTTTTTTGATTTTCTAATTTCAAAAGCAATTCAAAATAATCAAAATGTTATTAAACATAATTAAGTGCTTATTTTTAATTTCCTTTACCACTTTTTATTAAATAATTTTGGATTTCTATTGAAATTGAAAATTCGACAAAACCTGCGTTAAATTAATATCCAATGTCGGTAAGGTAGAAAACCATATTTTCCCAATAACAAGGTAAAATTACCAAGAAAACACTGTTTTCCCAATGTTTTTAACGCAGGGGTTAGAAATAGTAAGAATAATTGTTTTATGTTTAAATGTATGTTTCTTTAATAAAGAATCATTTATTTTTGCTACTAATTTCATTTCCCATCGTTTCTGAATCCATTTAATTGCTTTTTCTTGATTAAAAGCTTTACAAAAGTCGTCCGTTTCAGTGCGTTTACAAGCTTTACATCATTTCGGATACCGAAAACTGCTCGTATCCGAGATTCTCACGGATTCGTTTACCAGCTATTGATCTTGTAACCGGAATCCGCTGTTCTTGCATCTTTTATTTTTTACTGGGCGGCGAAAAACGTAAGCCATGTGTGGGAAAGAGAGAGTGATATTTGTTTATCTCTTTTATCACGTGGTTTTCACTTTCTACTGACGCTTTCACGCCAACATGATACCTTTAGTCTAAATTGGCTGCACAGAAGTAGACGTTCACGTTTTTGTAGCCGCAATGTAGACTAAGCTTGAAGTCTTAATAGACTCCTGCATCAAATTATTTATATTATTCCCTCTATAATAAAGTGTTGTTAGCCTATTGACCGATATTAATAATGTAAATTAAGTTAAATTTCAATTTATATTGATAATAACAATAACATTATTTTCAGGCCGTTGCAAATACAATGCAGGTTCGATGCAAGTGCCACGGTATGTCGGGTTCTTGTGAATTAAAAACCTGTTGGAAGGTAGCATCAGAATTTCGAGTTGTAGGCAAAACTCTAAAGGATCGTTTTAGAAAAGCTATACTTGTTTCGCAAAGTAATTTGGGTAGTATAACTCCCTTAACGAAAACTAGAGGCTCTCGACGTAGAAGACCAATACGCCAAAAACATCGAAAGCGACCAAATAAAATAGGAGAGCGAAAAATAAAAGTTCGCGATTTATCTAAGCAATTGTTCTACTATCAAAGATCTCCAAATTTTTGTGAAAAGGATCAAACTGCTGATATTGCTGGTACAACAGGGCGTAGATGTAATAGGACAAGCTCAGCTGGGGACGGATGTGCTTCTTTGTGTTGTGGTAGAGGTTACAATGTTGTGCGACAGCGCAGAATTGAAAAGTGTCGCTGCAAATTCTATTGGTGTTGTTTCGTTCAATGTCAAAATTGTACAATTGAAGAGTGGATTACAGTTTGTAAGTGAATTTCTGTCACATAGATGAACATTTAAGCAGATAAATTGTGCGTTTGTAATCGAATTATATAAATCTCATTTTTAATGTTATATTCTTTAAATCAAAAAAAAAGAAATTTCAATTACACACAGAGAAATCTTTTATTTGCGTTTATCTGAGATAAATAAAATTTATTTGAATTAAATAAAAATATACTTGACCTTGAGACAAATATACATATTTCTCTGGGTGTATACGTGAAAATTTAAAATAGTATAAATACATTTTCTTATATGTATATTACATTTGACATAATTTTTTAATTCAATTTTTGTTTTCAAGGACCTTAATTAGTGATCTAAACAAATTCTCACAATATTCATGAAAATATTACATGGGAAATTTGATTCATAAATATTCAGAAACTTTAAATCTTAGTCCGGGATACGAAAGAAATTCGATGACACATTTAAACGTAAATAAATAAAAAGCTATTACCATCTTAGGAATTTAGAAACATAGCTCCTGAAAAATAAGAACCATTTTTTTTGTAAAAATAGAAATTAAAGAATTAATTTTTGTTGCAATCGAATCATTGAAAATGTTTTAACTCTGTAACACATTCATCATTTTTATCTTCCCTATTCCACGTTTTTCACACAAACCATCGCACTTTTCATTCGTATAATAAAGATTGTACACACAATTTTGTGTTAGAGTCCCGTAACTTATGAGGAAGAGTTGCGTATGGAAATTATAAGAAATAATGCCAAAATAGCTTCCTTAGATTGTAGTAGAGAGAAATATAGTTCTAATCAGCGTTCACATTTTATTTGTTTAAAACGAATGCCCACATAACACGATCTTTTCAGGAAGGTTGCCGTAAATTTACTGGAGACTTGCTAAACATATTAAAATGTCCCCATCAGTGCAGCAATTTTTATAATAATATTTTTTGAAAAATGTGCTGTTATGTGGGCGAATACCATGAAAGAGATTATGAGTATAGCAATGCTGCTAAGATAAAGCATGTTTTGCTGTTTAGCAAATACAAATTGAAAAAATTTCAATGAAAGTAATCTCAATATATTGACTATTATATTTTTTTATTAAAAGTTTTATAAATTTTTCTTTATGTTTATCCTTGTAGGATTTTTACATTTTTTTAACCCTCTCTTTTTCTTCCTTTGACCTTAACCATATATAATCCCTTTGGAACCTACAAATCTCGACTGCACGCCGACTTTAGTTAGAAGTACCAACCGTAATGGAGACCAGGAACAGTCGATACAATTTTGAGAAAATCTCCTGCAGTGATTAGAGTTTAACTCTTATTTGATTGGCAAAGTGATTAAATTATATTTGTATTATCTAGTTTTGAAAGGACATAATTCTTTTAGCTCTACATATATTATTTAAATAACTAGAAGCATTTAAGTGATCCCTTGTAAATTGTTTCAACTGCCTCTATGCCAGGGTCAGTTGAAGCAGTGACGGGAATCCTCTAAATAGATGTAAAATAATTTTTTTTAAATCACACAGCCACACAAAAAAAATGACCGGGTTGGGAGATCAAATTACCCTACCCCCATGTATTTTTGGCCGCTGAACACGAATCTGAAGTCCGTTTTGCTCCTGCACGTGTACGTTTCTTCACAACCTCAAAAAACATTTCACATTTTTGGTGGCATACGATTTTTTTAAATTGATGGATTTATATGAAACTGGGTATTTAGGGGTTTTTGAGGTCGCTGATTACGAATCTGATGTCAGATTTTGAAAATTCAAATAGGCGGATCCAATATAGCGGACAATTTCTTTGAAAATTAATGCTTAAGTAGAACGGAATATTAGTTGAATACGTTGATATCAAGTGGGATATTACATTAATTTCACGGGAATATTCCCTCAGTATCATACAAATGTCACGCGAACATCACAGTGGAATGTCCCTATGAAGCGGACATTATGATATCGCCTAAATGTCACAAGAATATTCCCGCTTGATATCACTTTGACATTTAAGCAATATTTCGTGCTACTTAGGTGATTTTTTTTTAAATTGTTGGATTTTTATGGAATTTATTACTTGGAGGTTTTAGGGGCCGCTCATTGCGAATCTGAAGTCAGTTTTTCAAAATTCAAAATGGCGGATCCATTATGGAGGACGAATTTTTAAAGAATTGTTAGATTTTTATGTAACTTGATACCGAGGGTTTTTTGTGGTCGCTGATTGAGAATTTGAAGTCAGATTTTATAATTCAACACGACGGTCCCGTATTCTTATACTTCTTATACGTTTATTTCAAGTTTCATAAAAATCCAACAATTTTTTAAAAATTCGTCCTCCATATTGGATAAGCCATTTTGAATTTTAAAAAACTGACTTCAGGTTCTTAATCAGCGACCCCAAAAACCCCCGAGTAACAATTTTTAAACCGATCCGAATAATTTTAATTTTTTCGTCCGCTATATTGGATCCGCCTATTTGAATTTTCAAAATCTGACATCAGATTCGTAATCAGCGACCTCAAAAACCCCTAAATACCCAGTTTCATATAAATCCATCAATTTAAAAAAATCGTATGCCACCAAAAATGTGAAATGTTTTTTGAGGTTGTGAAGAAACGTACACGTGCAGGAGCAAAACGGACTTCAGATTCGTGTTCAGCGGCCAAAAATACATGGGGGTAGGGTACTTTGATCTCCCAACCCGGTCATTTTTTTTGTGTGGCTATGTCATTTTTAGTAACTTTTTATCATTTTCAGTACAAAAGAATGTTAGAACAATAAAAAAAACTTGAATTGTATTTCAATTTGAATAAATAAAAAATATATGAATAAAAACTTTCATTTTCAATACATAATTATCAATAAAAGGCCTCAAAAGCTCCCTAGAACTATGTTTTGTTTGATTTATAAAAAGTTGTGACAATCCTCACGAAATTCCATAAGTTAAAGCATGAATTAATTGTCCCTCAGAAAATTGAATCAACCGTCCCTTAGGTAAATTTTAATACACTTTATCACTTCATTAAAAAATTTACACATTATGTAAATAACTAAAGCATTTTTATAAATCCTCATGGAATTAATATCCTAAACAACAATTAAAAAAAGTATTTTAATAATTATTTACAAAAGATTAAGTGGAAAAATTCATACTTTTGAGTCTAAAAAATTAATGTGTCCATTTTTTACGTGTAATCTCGTAGGGATTCTAACGATATCTCAACTGGTTCGCATATGGAAACTGATCACTTTTTCCTTGAACTCCATTTCTATAACCGACCGTATCGGAAATATTCCTCTTGTATCAAGTGTCTCTGGTCTCCCCTACTCAATGATGATTAACCCCAACGACGGCAAGTCAAAGCGATACATAAGAGGCAAAATTTCTAAAGTGTACCAATTCAAAAAAAAAATTCTCAGATCAGGCTGCAATTTGCATAACATTTAGTGCTATGAGTGAGTACTTGACCCATAAATTATTAATTTTTATCAAAAACTGAAAAGGAGAAGAGAATTAAAATTTTTGTCAAATATGAAAAGTGGATTTTTTGAAAAATCATAACTATTGTATAAAAGAGTGAACAAAATTTTGACCTATATGTTTTCGAAAGGTTTTTTCTTTCTTTTTCGAATGGTGCAAACATTTTTTTAAAAAATTTAAAACTTATACCTTAACGACATTTTTTTTATACAAATTGTTACAAATAGCTGATCCCCCTCCTAAAAAGTTGAAGCTTTTTAGGGTTTCGTACTTGGTTCGGAACCCTATTAATATCGGTTTTTTTAAAATCGTGTACCCCCCCCCCCCCATAGGGGCCACACAAATTTATCTGGAGGGCTAAAATTTAGTACAAATGTGTATTTTTGCGTGTAGATTACAGGAAAAACATAGCGAACTTGATTTGAATTAATTAACATAGCGTTGTCAAGGAAAAACCATGAATTTTTAAGAAAAATGCCTGAAAATGACTATATACCTCCCCTCCTTAACGGCCACATCTTTTGACATAATGATCTCAAATTTGGTACACTTATGTATTTTTACGTGAAAAGTACAGGAAAAATATAGCGAACTTGATTCGGATCGATTTACACATAGCGTTGTCAAGGAAAAATCAAAAATGTCGAAAAAAAGGTTTTATCCACCTAGCGCACACAATATTCAACCCAGAAAGTTCATATTTGGTGTATAAATGTATTTTTGCGTGAAAATTACAAGGAAAAAGATGTGAGCACGATTGGATGATTAATTAATGATTAATTTTTATCAAATTTTTAAAGAAAAATGATAATTTTAGGGGAGAAATGTATTTTTCGAACAAAAACTAAGAAAATTTTATCTAAAGTAATTAAAATTTATATATTTTTACGTGTAGATTACAAAAAAATATAGCGAGGACGATTATAATTGATGGTCCTGGTGCTGAGAGACAACCAATTTTTAGCTATAATATAGCTAAAAATTGGTTAATTAAATCGATGTATAATCATATCTTGTAAAATATTAATTTTTGACAACAAAGATGTAAGCTAATAGCTTTTACAATTAAAAACATATACATTTTGTTAAAAACAAAATTAAAAAGGCTATTGAAAACAGAAAAGATGTTTTTCTTCATTAATTATGTCTTGACATATATATAAACAATATCGCTTAATTCAAGCAAATGAAAATTTATATATAGCTAATATCGTTTGATTCGAAGATACATGGGGGTTTTAATATGTAAAACCCCGAAAGAGCATACATAAAAACTATACTATTTTATTTTTGTGCCATTTTTCATATGAATTCAACCAGTACAGAATAATATAAACATAAATTCAACCTGTATGAAGTAATACGAAAAAGTGGATTCAATAGAATAAAATCAATAATAGCTAACAGGCTTCTAAGTTAGCAGTTAGTTAATTAAGTCGGCTTTATTGAATTATGGAAGCCAAGTACCCCTCTACTATCTTAGCCACTATTCACAATTTGCAAGAGCCTTGTTCCCTTCAAGATACTTGCATTGCTAGAGCGAACGCCGCGGGGTTTGCACTGCCTGCTAACTTACCAGACGCCTTAATTAAAGGTGAGTTCAAACACTACAACGTAATAAGAGCACTTTATTTTCTCCTTACACGTGTTCACGTGTAAACTCAAAATTAAAATTATTTTACATCAATGTAACTTAAAAATCTATATTAAAAAATTATTTTACCCATTTAAAGTTATAGTCCTTTTAAAACTTTTAAATTATTTAATTATTGAAGAAACTAAAAAATAAAATAAACATGAAAAAAATGTATTGCTTAAAAAAGTTAAAAATTTAAAAAGTACCTTGAATTATATTGCATATATTAAAAAGTATGCATGCGATAAAACTTATGTCTCATAACGAAAATTAAATTTAGTTATCTAATTATTGTTTATGCATTTATATTTATAATAAATAATTTTTTTAAATACATTTACATTTATATTAAACCTTTTAAAAAATTGCTTTATAAAGCTGTAAAATTTGCTTTAAAACAAAATATATATTTTTTTATTTTATCTTAAAAACAGCCTTTTCCAGAGAAGAAATTAATATAGTTGTTCCGCTTAAAGAAGAACAATTTTGCATTGTTACACAGTATTTTCTACACTGTTTTTTCCGTATCATAAAACATAATGGAACCCTTATAAATAACGTAAATGTAATTTTAACCTTCGCCTTACCGAATACCCACCTTGAGTGACGTGACCTAATCATGTTAATGTTATGTAATATACCCAGATAGCACGTAAGCCTGCAGCAATCTTGCGGCAAGCTTCAAAAGTCCCACCTGACCGAAAGATTGCAGTGTAAGGTTACTGCAAGATTGCACAGTAAGATTATCGCAAGATTGCTCAGTAAGATTATCGCAAGATTGCTCAGTAAGCTTGCACGGTAAGCTTGTCGCAAGGTTGGTGCAAAATTGACAAATAACCTTGCCAATCAGCACAGAATGTTGCAGCAATCTTGCCATGCAAGTTTTCTCGGCAACTTTATGGCAAGCTTGGTGAAAGCTTAGGTTAGGTGGGTCATTTGAAGCTTGCGGCAAGCTTGCTGCAAGTTTACGTGCTGTCTGGGTAATATCTTGAATCAAACACTAGCGAGTTTAATAAGTCACTAAACAAATTTTTGTTAATATAAAACAGTTCTATTGAATACCTTTTACGATTTTAAGTTTTTTTGCAATATACAAATAAAAAAAATATTTGGGTCACACTGCTGGGTATTCAGTAATCCGTTCACATAAAAATCTCCAGTATTGGGAAGGTTTAAAAGTAGAGTTTTCTTGCTAGCAATTGTTTGTTTGTGTAGAATCAATGCTAACTGACATTGCTAAAATGGCTAATCCAATATTACAGATCATATATCCAATTTTTTAATTATAAATTCAACGTGACGGAAGATTTTGGTTAAAAATTCATCAAATTCGCTTGAAACTCATTACTCAGAGATTTTTGGGAATCAATAATTATAAATTTGACGTCAAATTCGAAATCAGCGACCCTGAAAACACCTCGGTAAGGGGCCATTCATTAATTACGTAAGGCTCTTAGGGGGAGGGGGGGTGGGTCCAGCAATTCTTACGTTCAATAGAAAAAATGGCGCTAATGCATGTAAAAAATCTTACGTGGGGGGAGGGGGGGGTCAAAATAGCCAAATCATCCTTACGTAATTAATGAACGACCCCTAAAGAGTTTTAAGCGAATCTGATGAATTTTATTTATTTTATAATTAAACAGGCAGTGCTCTTTGAGTATACATATTTCTTAAATTTTGTATTGCATCTTATTAAATAAGATGCAATACAAAATTTAAGAAAATTACCAAAACAAAATAATCATTACATAGCCGCATTTTTATTCACATAAGAAAAAATTACACGGTGAGAAAAGTTACAGTAAAAGCATTTACTACGCCGGTAGTAGCACCAACTATCTGTTTAATAGAATATACAAAGCCGGCTGTCCATTTAGTATATCTAACAATAATGTAATAAATTTTACTATCTATTTAAGGCCAGTTTCACCAACTCCGGTTAAAAGTTATGCAGCGATTAAATCCCTAACCGACCAATCATGATTGGCTTTAATCGCTGATTAATTTTTAACCGGACAAATTTCTGTCTTATTACATAACGTACGCCAGTCTACCAAGTCTGAAAGTAATATTCTCACCATACCATGACTTACAGAGAGATTATTTAAAAAAAAGTCTGCCATATTGGATCCGACATTTAAAAATTGTTAAATCTATAATGTCAAATTCGTGGTTAAAGACCTTAAAATTCCTGAGTAACGGGTTTCAAACAAACAGTTTTCCTAAATCATTTTTAGAAATGATACGAAAATTGGAATCATTTTTGATACCCAAAATTGGTATCAAAGTACAACTGTCATGGACGGTATACAGTTACTGAAAAGTTTATTAATTGATTTCTTGATTTCACTATATTTTGACTATATTCTAAAGATAAAGTAGAATACACTGACCTGTGTTTATGGTTGTCAAACATATTAAAAGTGAGTTTACAATTCGAATATTTTTGAATTTTAAAGTTATTACTGAAACCACAATTAATTACAAAACAATTATGTATTTGAAATAACAATGATATGTAGAGATAATAAATATTAAACTGCAGACGACACATAAGCACAGTTGAGAATGTAAATTACTATGTGCAATTTACAGTAAAAGTCCAAAATGTTATATCTTTTTCGGGTGAGTTTTTTAAAGGTGTTTTTACACCTCTCACTATTTTTCGGTATACCGAAAAATATAGATGCGATTTTTTGTCGAAAAATTTAAAATTATACTATAATATTTCTGAAAAATGATTATGGTTTCAATAATCATTTGAATAAAAATAGTACATTGTGCAAGGAGTGAGAGACATATAAACGATATTCGATAATTTTTCCAAAAGCAGCGCAGAAAGTGTGACTTAGAAGTTAGTCGAGAGGGGATGAATAAATCGATTTCCTAATCCACTATCAAATTATATTGGAGATGGGTCGCGCTTGTGGCGGGGCGAAGCCCTTTTCATACAAAACAACTAAATCAGAAGATAAACTTTAATTTAATTTCACAAATTTCATATTTTGAATGCACATTTGACTTGCCTGACTTAATAAAATGTCGTCTGCCAGAAAGAATCTCTATGGTCAAGCCACAAAAAACGAAGACAGGCTTTATAAATAATCGTTACTAAATAAATAACTTGAGTGTTATTTTCTCACTTGACACATGCGCATTGGATTTCGTATATGATGCGCATGTACCAAGTGGGTAAATATTTACTTCAACCACCAGAGACTTCTTCATCCACTGACGTGCCACGGATCAGGAAATCGATGTATTCGTCAATACAAAAAACCATTGTTCATGTTCCTTTCTCATGGTACAATTAACATTATTCTTACTTATAGACCATTGCTAAAATATTACAAACCATGGGGATTTTTTTTTTAATTTTAAGGACTTGGATCATTGATAAAACCTTAGAAACAATGGGAAAATTATTTGTTTAATATTTCCTTTTTGGATCATGTCTGAAATCTTGTAAACCATTAAAAAATAAATTTTTTAATTTTACTTTTTTGACAATTGCTAAAATTTTGTAACACACGGGATTTTTTTTTATTAATTTCACTAAATTTTAACCACAGCTAAAATCTTGGAAACCATTGGAAATTAAAAAAAAATTTTTGATTTTGGACCATTGCTAAAAACTTGAAAATCATGAGAAAATTATTTCCAGTGTAAAAAAGTTCCCAAGTTAGCCCAGTCTGTAAGTGAGCGCCAGCTAGACCCCACCTGGGTTATTCAAAAAGTTGAAAATTAGGTACTACAAAATAAACTAAATTCTCTTATTATTATTTAATTATTTATTTAATTCCCGTGTGGAAAAAGCCACGATCATGCCCTCAAGAGTTCGGGGCCCCCGGCGGGGGCCCATGAGGGCTGATCCATATGGCGAATCCATGAGGGCCACCGTAGGGGCCCCGCATGGATCGCCCTCATGATCGATTAGCAAAATTTTCTAAGTCCAAAATTCAAATATTTTTTCGTCAACAAAAAATGAATGTTTCCAATGATTCAAAACAACGAAAAACGCGTTTTTAATAAAAATATATTTACACTTTTTTTGAAAATTCACCTGAGATGATTCATGATAATAATCATAAAGCATATAATTAATTATATTTTATAAATTGCATTTGATTGGAAAATATAATTTAATATCTTAACTTTAACTAAATGATATTAAGCACTTTTCTTTGTTAGGTATTTTTGAAGTTTAAATAGCATCAAGAAGTTAGCATTCGTTTTGAAGTAGCGTGCGTAGCGTAGTTGGTAAAGCGTTAGGTTCATAGTCCGTAGGTCGTAGGTTCGATTCCCCCCATGCGTTAGATTTATTTATTTCTCAGGTTTGCGTTTAATCATTAATTCTATGTATGAATTAATTGAAAAATGAAAATATCCGTTAATAGTATGCATAAATTACATATTTTTTAATTTTTTAATTAATTAATTTATTATTACTTTTAATTATATGCGACAGTTAATTAATTAGAACGTTAATTAATAAATTCAATTTGAGTAAGAATTTAATTTAAAATTGAATAATTATTAAATAAATATGTTATTTATTCATAACTTAAGCTTATTTATTATTAATTAACTTTTATTATTAATATTATTGATTAAAAAACATTATGGCAAACTTCAGGGCAAGATGAGGGCAAACGTGAGGGCCCATAAGGGCGCCCGTAGGGGCACCCTCATGGATCGCCCATGCGGGCGCCCTCATCGATGAGCATGTCGTTTCCATGAGGGGCCCCTATGGATCATCCATATGCGGCCCTCATGGCATGAGGGCGATCCATAAGGGCCCCCGCTGGGGGCCCACATCACTTTTCCACACGGGTTAATTTAATTTATATTTTAATTCTATTTTCGATAAGATTTTATTTTATATATTTTCATAAAAATTTATTTTAATTATATATTTTTTTATTTCAAATTATTAAATGAGGGTGGAAATCCATATT